TATTAAACGGGTTACACATGTTACCCGTTTAATAAACATGTCGTGTTCGTGTTTAGGATACGTGACACGATTATTAATCGTGTCGTGTTCGGGTTGACCTATTTAGTGTTATACCCCTAGTTCGACACGACACGATTATGACACGGGAACCCGAATTACCACCCCTGGTCCTTAAGAAACATGTCATACAATATTTTCTGAATTTGACGAAAGAAAAGGACAGGGCAAATTCAAAATGAAATACAAAACTGTCAATATAATCAACACCAGTTAAGCCCATCCATTGGTTAGGATAATTAACAGATTAACACATAGTCATTCACTTGTCTTCAAATTGTAACAATGAGAGAAATCCAAATCAAACCCACCAAATTGTTTAAAAAAAAAAATTTTTAATAATAATTTTTTTATTGAAATAACTAAGAAAAAGAGTTTACTTATATCTCATGAGGTTGCCTTAAAGTACCATATGAAACTCCAATAGTTTCCCTTCCACCATTCACATTTCTATTTGCCCTTCCACCATTTGCATTTGTAATCTACAAAAAAAAAAAAAAAAAAAAAAATTAATAATAAAATAATAATAAAATTATTAATGTTTATTGATAGAATATTGAGAATGTATAATTTTTATTGAAATAACTAAGAAAAAGAGTTTAGTTGTACCTCATGAGATTGCCTTAAAGTACTATATGAAGTTCTAACAGATGCCCTTCCACCATTTGCATTTGTACTTGCACTTGGCCTTTTACCTCTTATAGTTGTTTTAAATGCTGATGGTGGTCTTCCTCCTTTCTTTGGTGGAGTTTTCTCAACAACAACCTGCTCTGCAACTTTGCAAGTCCTTGTATTATGGCCATATACCAAGCATCTTGAACATTGCAGTTTTTCTTTTGACCTGCTCAGATGGATTGAAGTGGTAGGCTCATCATTTTTTTTGTTTCTTTTCTTTTTTGGCCTCCCAATTGGCTTCTTAAAAATTGGAGGATGGATAGAGGCTGTGGGCTCTGTTATTAGTAGCCTTCTCATAGGCATAGGGTTGATTATGCCACCATAGTGTCACGGGCTTAGAGTTTCAGCACCACTCTAGCTGCTCCCGTGCGGCACCAAGACGTTGCTTTCACTCTCGCAAGTACTTGGTCAGCCTAACTCCCGTGCACACCTTAGCCAACACACTCCCCTCGTGCGCTTACTAGTGTTGTAGTTGCCCTTGCCCTCTCCTCACTTGGCTTGCACACTCACACACACTAAGGCACTTAAGTTGGCAAGGAAAGAACACTTCTATTACTTCAAAGAATGCTTTGTACAAGGCTAACACTCAAGCTCTCTACAAGGCTCTCAAGACTCACTCTAGGACTTGTTGGTTACAAAATGAAGTCCTACTCCTATTTATAGGCATTCCCATCCCTAATGGATGGCTAGGATGCATTCTAACCAATGGTGGAGATTGATTCTCTAGAATCTTCTTCCACCTTCTACACATCTCCATACATATCTACAACATTCTAGAACCCTCCATACTACTCCACACAATTCTGGAGAATTCTAGAACCTTCCACACACTTCTAGAATATACTACACATATCTAGAATCTTCCACAGAACTCTAGACTACTCCGGAAGACTCTAGAAACTCCACTTGCCATGCAGTTGCCATGCAGCGTCCTCCTTAGCGTTTGCGTGTCACCTGCGTGGTACAACCTCCATAGGCGGGGCGTGACATTCTCCCCCACCCATTTCCGTGACGCCCTCGTCACGGTTTCTTCAACTGACCCAGCCTCTCGCAGGTCATCAGCACTTGCGCATATGTCCTTGGCCCAAACGTACGAGCGCCCTTCGGGAGATGTGAAGTCCTCACGAGCTCCATCGTGTTGACTGCCACCTCTGGACTCTCCTTCCTGCCCACGAGCGGCACCATGCATGCGGCCTTGCCTTCCTCGCCTCCAAGTATCATCAACGCACCAAGGCATGGTAGTGGCGCGGCGTTGTTCCTGTCCATGAACTCCAGCCCCAGCACCATGTCATGGTCGTCCATCTCCGCAACTTGGAAGTCGGCCTTGCCCTTCCATCCTTGCAAGCATAGCTCCACCTCTTTGCACACTCTACTCACGCGTGCCTCCTCGGAGTTGACGGCCTTGATCCATCCCTCCGTCTTGCGCATCTCCAAGCCAAGTCGTTGCGCCTCCTCTGGGGTAATGAAGTTGTGTGTGGCGCCCGTGTCCACCAACGCTTGCACGGCTTTGCCACCAACCTGCGCATCCACATAGCGCACCCCAGCTACTTTCTTCGCCTTACCCTTTTTCTTGGTGTCATGCGCCATGCTACTCAGCATCTGCATAGCCCCCATGCACCTGTCTTCGTCGCTGCCCGTATCATCCACCTTGCCCTTGCCCTTATCCTTCACAAGGGCGCTCATGGTCTTCTTGTTGGGGCAGTGTCGCAATATGTGCGGCCCTTCGCACAAGTAGCACTTCGGCTCCCACTTGCCCTTATCGCGGCGCTCCCATTTGCCACTAGCCTTGGACCTCTCTCCATGGTCCTTGCCCTTATCATGGCGTGGGCGTCTCTCCTCATCGCTGTGCTCATTATCACTAGACTTGGGCGAGCCCCGTTTCTTGAAGCGTCGGTCTCCCCCACCTTTGCCGTGGTCCCTCCTGGGAGACGTGGCCCTCTTGTCATCGCGCCTAAAGTCTTCGAGGCGCTCCGCTATAGCCATTGCGGATGCCAAGTCTCTAGGCTCCCTCCTCCTTAGCTCCGTGGCCACCCAAGACTGCAGCCCGTCTATGAACAAGCACACGCGTTGCCGCTCCGGCATCTCTGGGATCTCCAGCATCAAATTGGAGTACTCCTTCACATACTCCCTTATGCTGCCCTTCTGCTTCAAGCGCCTTAGGTTGATCATGGCCAGGTCCTCAACGCACTCAGGGTAGAACTGCCTCTTGAGCTGCCTCTTGAACTCCTCCCATGTGTCAACTGCTCTTGCGCCTCTACCAGTGAAGCGCTGCCTCCACCATAGAGCGGCGGTGTCTGTGAGGTACATAGTGCCTGTCTGCACCTTCTCCTCATCATCCTCGATCTCCATGCACTCGAAGTACCGCTCCATGTGCCAAAAGAAGTTGTCAATCTGGCGCGCATTCCTTGCCCCATCGTACTCCTTGGGCTCCGGCGCCTTCTTCTTCCTTGGCTTCACCACGACCTCGCGCGCCTGGGAGAACTCCTTCTTGCACTCGGCAATCTCCACGCGCAAGTCGTCTACCAAATCATGCAAGTCCCTTTCTTTCTCTTGCGCCTTGTTGGCGATGCCATCAATCAGCTCGTAGAGCTCCTGCATCCTTCTCTCGAGCCTATTAAACTTGGTCTCCGTGTAGACCAAGTGTGTGGCAAGCTTCTCCTCCAAGCTCTGCTCTAAGATGTGGACTTGGTGGTCTCCTCCGCTAGCCATGTCTACTCCAACAAAGCTCCCTTGACGAACCTGCTCTGATACCAACTGTCACGGGCTTAGAGTTTCAGCACCACTCTAGCTGCTCCCGTGCGGCACCAAGACGTTGCTTTCACTCTCGCAAGTACTTGGTTAGCCTAACGCCCGTGCACACCTTAGCCAACACACTCCCCTCGTGCGCTTACTAGAGTTGTAGTTGCCCTTGCCCTCTCCTCACTTGGCTTGCACACTCACACACACTAAGGCACTTAAGTTGGCAAGGAAAGAACACTTCTATTACTTCAAAGAATGCTTTGTACAAGGCTAACACTCAAGCTCTCTACAAGGCTCTCAAGACTCACTCTAGGACTTGTTGGTTACAAAATGAAGTCCTACTCCTATTTATAGGCATTCCCATCCCTAATGGATGGCTAGGATGCATTCTAACCAATGGTGGAGATTGATTCTCTAGAATCTTCTTCCACCTTCTACACATCTCCATACATATCTACAACATTCTAGAACCCTCCATACTACTCCACACAATTCTGGAGAATTCTAGAACCTTCCACACACTTCTAGAATATACTACACATATCTAGAATCTTCCACAGAACTCTAGACTACTCCGGAAGACTCTAGAAACTCCACTTGCCATGCAGTTGCCATGCAGCGTCCTCCTTAGCGTCTGCGTGTCACCTGCGTGGTACAACCTCCATAGGCGGGGCGTGACAATAGGCTTTCAAATATGTATCTTTGTGATAGTAGGGATGCACATATATCTCAAGGAGTTCCTTCTTTGTAAAACAATATACAACTGCATGTTTTGGCAGCAATGTTGACTGCATCTCCAATTTCTCTACATTGCACATCATATTTCTCATACCCAGCATACTTAACTGTACACATTCTTGCTTCCCTTTTCCTTTTGTCCAATTCCCTTTGAATTCTTGGGCATATCAACCCATAATTTGAATTAATCCACTGCCTCTTACTTTCAAATCTCAACATGAGATGCCTTCTAATCCACTCCAACATATACAGGATAGGCTTGTCTCTTGCAGGAAGGATGACTGCATTCCAAGACTCACACATATTGTTGAACACCAAAGCACATTTTGACCTCTCAGTAAATTTGGACCTTGACTAAACCTCAGGTGGCACCTTTTTTAACCATTCATAAGCTTTAACTTTAATGTCCTTGATCTTTTTTATATGCTTATCAAATGATTGAGCAGCTTCCCACAAGGCATTTTTGAGATTTTGCCTCTTATATTTTAGCTTAAAATTTTCGTATAAATGCCTCACACAGAATCTATGATTAGCCCTATATAAGATGGTATCAAATGTGTCTACCAAACCCTACAACAGAAAGTTAAAGTAAAAAAATAATAACTGAAATGTTCCACAAAAGTTACAAAATAGAAAAAAAAAGAACCAGTAGTAAAGTAAGAACGACAAAAATAAAAGTTTAAAAAAAAAATTGAAACTAAAGTACTTATTTTTTGCCTATCTGACATGAATGTAATGTCATGATGAGGGACAACAGCATCCATCAACTCCTCCATGAACTAATGCCATGACTATTTTGTTTCAGCTTCTACAACTGCAAAAGCAACAGGGAACATTTGATTATTTCCATCACAGCCCACAGTTGAGAGCAAATGACCACCATGTGGTCCCTTTAGAAAGCACCCATCAACTCCCAGAAATGGTCTACAACCATCTGTAAATCCTTTTTTCATTGCAGCATAAGAAATAAAAATCCTCTGGAATGTTCTGACTGACTCATCACCATCAGTGGGCTTAGTACACAATTTTGCAATGCTTTCTGGATTTGTCCTTAAGATTAATTCACCACATTCCCTCATCTTAGAATATTGTTCAGCTTCATCTCCCTCTATAATATTCAATGCCCTCCTTTTTGCCCGACTTACTTTGTATTTTGACACATCAATATCCAATTTAGCAGCAATAGTCTTTCTAAGAGCCCCATTATTGATGGTTGGGTTTAACCTAATTTGCTCTAAGTACCTATTTGCTAAATATCCTGCTATGGCTTGCTTACTTTTGTGAACCCACAAACAATTGTTATGTTCATCTTTAAATGTCTTGATTATCATACATTGATCATTACTTGCCTTACTTGCATAAATCCTCCAACCACAATCATACTTACACACTGCACTGATTTTGTCCCCATCATTTCTTTTGAATTTTATATCAAACTTTGCCTTTACAACATGGTCTCTCAGTGCATCTCTGAAGTCTGCAGCTGATGCAAACCTTAACCCAACTTGTAGTGGTTTTACACCCAAATCCCTTGAAGGAATAAAGTCCAGGTACATAGGACTTTGGGTATCACCATCATCATCAGATGAATTACAAAGGCTTACCAACTCATCAATAGGAGCATAATCAGAGTCAACTTCAACAAAATCAAATAACTGCTCACGATATTCATCATCATCGTCATCATCATCAGTGTGAGGCAAATCATTTGACTGGTGATCATCAAAAGGTGAAGCCTCATAGGACGCATCCATTTCTTCGTGTACAGTTTTCTTCTTACCTGAGTCATCAACTGATGCAACAATGTAAAGGTGGATTTCCTTCACTTCAATGAATGGCTCAAAAATAGAAAACATCTCCACCACATCTTGGTTAGACTTGATTTGTTGGAATCCATCACCACCATCATCAAAAGGCATCACATAAAGGGCTTCTTTAATTTCTTTATATCCAAGTTTTTTTGCATTTATCTGACCTCTATGTAGGACATTAGGTCTGGATGGATATTTTTTGTCCTATATATGCCCTATGGGGTCTTTTTATGAAAAAACCCCCATGGTGTAAAACAATAGTGTATTCCCTGTCCATCTACCAAAAAAAGAATAATATTAATTATAAAAGTAAAATAAATTTATCAAAGTAGTAGGTGACAGATTCAATGCATATCCATAATAATAAAGAATAAGTGGATAATTTAAGAACATATTCAATACAAATGGACCACTTATCTAAGGACCAAAGAGATTGACAAAACACAAAATATCAAACATTATCAGTTAACATACAAAACATAGAATCTTTGTAAAAATTACATCTATTGACACATACAAAATAAAATAGACAAGATAGTAAAGATATGAGACACACGCACTAAAGAAATTGAAAACATACACGCAGAATCTTTGTGAAAATTACATCTATTGACATAAAACCATTGAAAAGCACAACAAATGGGCCACCATATATTGTGTTATGTTCCCTGTCGAAAGGCACAATAAATAGACAAGAAAGCCTTTTCTCTTGTTAATTTATTCGCATGACCAACAAATCATATAAAAACACAAAAAATAAATTATTTTGTTCTGTTCAAGATTCCATAAAAAGCAAACTTTGAAAAATATAGAGCAAATTCTTTTATTGAGAACAAAGTTAAGGTTTACCCTTGCGTCAGTGAGTACAATAGTACTTTTTCTTCCTTCAACGAACCAAGAGCCACAAAACAGAACTGTTCAACGAACCGAGAGCAACAAAACAAAACTCGTACAGCCGGTTTAGAGTTTTGTTTTTGTCTGATTGTTGATTAGGATAAGACTTGGTTGGCGCCATAAAGTGTTGATGGGTGTTGTTTGGCACCATTTTGGGATAAGGCCTCTTATTGATATGGTTAGCAGCTTAGGTGTTACATTTTCATTAGTTCTACAGATTACATTGTCAAATTAACTTATCAACACCAATATAGCACTAAAACGACACTGTTTAAATAAGGGCTAAATGGTCATTTCATTTTTCCGTTAACGGCGGCTAACGGATCTTCACTGCATGCAACAAAATAATACTTTAGGGGGTTTTGCTTACTTCAGGGGGGTTTATTGCAATCGGGTCATAGTTCAGGGAGGGTTTAGTGCACTTTACCATTTTATTTATGATCTATTTATCATGGTTTTCTAACTCTTGAAATACCATATACTAAATACTTCAGCTCATTTACCTTTTCAAGGTTCTATATATTTGTTTCTCAGCAAACATGTATAACAGTCTCCAGTGCATATGTATTCACTTTATCTCTAACTTGTTCTTATAATATGTCAGAGACGTTACTATAAATTAATGCTAGAGATACTAATTATAATTGGCTCTAATTAATATTTACTTATACGTACATCTCTAGTATTTATGAATTGAATTATCTATGTTGAGGTTCATGTTAAGTCAGTCATATTAACATGTCTAACCTTTCATGTATCACACATCACATAACTCAATCAGTTAAGCAAATAATTAACTTATTACTTAAGCTTTGGATACAATCACCATAGAGTGAACATTCACTTCTTAGCTATCATTACTAGTTAAAAGTGAGTTATTAGCTATCAATACTAGCTTAGATTAAACACACTCTTCTCATTAATCACTACTTGTTTATATTGAACACCCAATTTTTAGTTGTCACTCTTAGCTTGAAGTTATGTTAGCTCAATTATCATTACTAGTTTCTCTTTATTTGAGTTTATTTTTAGTACACACTTATCTAAGTAGTCTAATTTGGTAGTAGAGGAATTTGTTTTGAAGAATATTATCTAAAAAGCTACCATTTTACAAGTAGTATTCTTCCCTCCTACAGAAGCAGATATGATGTATAACTTAAATAACTTATAACTAAAATGGCTACCCATCATCCTCTTATTTTTTCTACCTCGTTAAGAATAGAACCACCTAACAGATTTTAATCTGTCTCTTTAATGATTTGCACCTCAATAATTATTTTAGCTTGTAGTTGGCTACCTTTTACTCTATAGCTAACTAGCTTGCACTTCAGTAACATTTTAACTTTTAGCTAAATTGTACTTCATAGCTAACCAGTTTTAATTAGCTTGTCACTTTTATCTCGGTACACTAGTGTAATACCCCTAGTTTTCTAAAGGATAAAATTGAAATTGAAATTTTATTTTGTGTGAAATTTTAATTTGTTTTTGTGGCTAGGTGCTTATGTGTCAAATTGGTTATTTGTTTGATTTTATTTTATTTAATTGTTGGTTTTATTTTATTGGTTGATTTAAATAGATTGTTTTCCTTACTTATTTTTTTTTTTAATTAAATTAATTGGCTTGTGTGTTTAAATGGATTAATTTAGTAATTATTAATTTTGATATAAATAAGTTAAATGAGTTTTTGGTTATTACGTTAGTTAACTAGGGTCTCTAGGAAGACAGTGTATTTAACCGACATGGATACATCTTGGTTGCTTTATGGGCCGACTTGGGGTAACATTAGGGCTCTGTCTCTATTATTACAAGGATTAGGATTTTAGAATTTAAGTCTATAAATACAACCATTATGCTGTAGTCTAGGGTTTACGCTCATAACTCATAGCACAAAAACGGGGAGATAATTCTGTAAAAATAGAGGGTAGAAGGAACAGAATACTGTATGGGTGGCAAAGAGAAGAACAGAGGGGACCAAGGTGGGATTTTGGTGAACTATTCCAGAGCACTAGGAGGCTTTACAGAGGTTCGTGTTGCCGAAATAGTGGACACAACGCCAAGATTTCATAATTGAAATCACAGGCAAGTTCTATTATCTCTCTATCCCTTTGTCATGTGTTCTGTGCATACCTAGATGTCTCTAGGATTTTAATTGAATTTTAATCTAATCTGGCATGCGAAATATATGTCAAGTTGATTATCAGTATGTATATAGTTGTTTAAAACAATTCTTGAATGACTTGTGTTTGGTTTATTTTAAGCTTACAGATTGGTTCCGTTTTAATGAATGATTTAATTCGTATTGCTATAAACAAGGGATTAGGATGTCATGGAATATATATAGGATGGTTAAGATCAGTTTTGATTATCTGTATATGTTCTAGTATTACCTGTAGTTATGTCTGCAAATCGAAGATCAAGTTGTATGTTAACACATAAGGAATCGGTAGAGGTTTTAAATCACTGTAATAAATTTCAATTGTTGAACCAAACCATTGGGATGCTATTTGGTATTAATAAGACCCTTAGGATCAGTTTTAGAAACCAACTGAAGGGTAGAAAGTGGTCGGGGTCGAAGCAGATCATCGGAAACGAAGAAGGAAGCGGAACAGTGGGCTTCCCCTTTTTGGAGGCGGCTCCAAAATGTTTTGGAGGCGGCTCCAAACACTTTGAGCCTGCTCCAAAAGTTTTTGGAGCCGGCTCAATGTTGGTTTGAGCCTGCTCTATTTTTTTTAGAGCAAGCTCTTTCCATTTTGATGCGTACTGTAAGTTTTCAGAAACTGTTTAGGCTCTTGGGGTTTCTGAACAGTTTTAAAACTTTAATGGGGGTTTCAATAATTAATTTAGGATGTAATTAAGTTATAGTATTACATAAAATACCCTCTTTGTATTAATGGAATTAACAGTGCGCTATTAAACAACTTGTGCGCGATTAACTACTGGAAGGAAGTTAAATTGTCTAATTTTAATTTGATAATTTAGGGTGCTATAATATGATTCTAAATTAACTTTTAGATGTATGAGGGAGTCTTTTAATTAACAAATTGGACTTGTAGTATAGTTTATGACTCGGTGCTAAAACAATAAAACAGTATGCAAAGATGCAACATAGCATGCTATTGATGGATAAAAGGAACTGAATTGCTAGAATTAATTTTAGCAATTTCTTGGACAATTTTATGATTTTAAAACTTATTTATATGCATGATAGAGTTATTGATTTATTAAAACTGATCTATTCATGCTCTGGATGTTAGTCGTTGAACTGTTAAACAATACATGGTTTAACTCTTGGATTTAAATTGCTGAACCTTTAAACATCTTTCTGCAATTATTTGGGTTATAGTTTGGACTTAGATTGCTGAACTAATACTTAGGTTCTGTTAATCTAATTGGATGTTGGCCTAGAATTAATTGAAGAATTAATTATATATATTTTCTGTCAATTACTTGGATGGATGCTGGATAATTAACTTGATGAACTATTAAACCTTGTCATGTTAGTTACGTGGATAGATTTTGGATTATAGATGATGAACTGTTTAAATTCTATTTATTATCTATTTAGATTATATGGATTTGTTTGATGTACTGCATAAAATGTTGCATCATTTACGGATCATTTGCATGTATGTACCGGTATGGGATGGTGACATACGGAGGGACGGATTAGATCAAAACGCTAATTCTAACCCAATCATACATACGGAATGGATTAACTAAAATAGTTAAATCTTACATGGATGCATGTCCTGTCAACTAAAACAGTTGAACGACATAACGGATGGTTGTTTATAATTTCTGTTAGTAGAATGGATAGGGATTTAATTAAAACATTTAAATCCTAATTTTATGTCGTGTCATGGCAATGAACTGTTGAGCGGCACTACATTGGTTTGGATGGAATTTATATATATAAACTATGGTACCGCGGTCTGAGCTTGAGTCTCATAGTCGACGGTTAGGGAGCGTATATGCAGTAGGATGCATAACTAGCTATACTGGTTGAGGTATACCCTGTTAGGCTTAGGTAGTCATGCCCACTCAGGTGCGTTTTTGCATGTTGCCTTCTATTCAGGCTGAGACCTTCAATATAGCCTAGCGACAGTCCTGTAGTGTGGTTATATGTATATATCTATTTACGGACTATATAGAAATGGTTGAGACATCTAGGATGTATCTGCGTATCGGGTTTCTGTTTGGATTGTAATTAGGAT